GGAGCAGCTACCGCACTCACTCCACAGAAGCAGCTACCGCACTCACTTCCAAAAAGCAGCTACTGCACTCACTCCCCAGAAGCAGCTACTGCACTCACTCCTCAGGAGCAGCTACTGCACTCACTCCCCAGAAGCAGCTACTGCACTCACTCTCCAGAAGCAGCTACTATACTTACTCCCCAGGAGAAGCTACTGCACTCACTCCCCAAAAGCAGCTACTGCACTCACTCCCCAGAAGCTACTGCACTCACTCCCCAGGAGAAGCTACTGCACTCACTCCCCAGAAGCAGCTACTGCACTCACTCCCCAGAAGCAGCTACTGCACTCACTCCCCAGAAGCAGCTACTGCACTCACTCCCCAGAAGCAGCTACTGCACTCACTCCCCAGAAGCAGCTACTGCACTCACTCCTCAGGAACAGCAACTGTACTCACTTCCCAACATCAGCTACTGCACTCACTCCCCAGCAGCAGCTACTGCACTCACTCCTCAGGAGCAGCAACTGCACTCACTTCCCAGCAGCAGCTGCTGCACTCCCCAGCAGCAGCTGCTGCACTCACCCCTCAGGAGAAGCTACTTGCACTCACTTCCCAGCAGCAGCTGCCCTCACATCCCCCCAGAGCAGCTACTGCACTCACTCCCCAGGAGAAGCTACTGCACTCACTCCCCAGGAGAAGCTACTGCACTCACTCCTCAGAAGCAGCTACTGCACTCACTCCCCAGAAGCTGCTACTGTACTCACTCCCCAGAAGCAGCTACTGCACTCACTCCCCAGGAGAAGCTACTGCACTCACTCCCCAAGCAGCGCACTCACTCCTCAGAAGCAGCTACTGCACTCTCCAGAAGCAGCTACTGTACTCACTTCCCAGAAGCAGCTACTGTACTCACTTCCCCGAAGCAGTTACCGCACTCACTCCTCAGAAGCAGCTACTGCACTCTCCAGAAGCAGCTGCTGTACTCACTTCCCAGAAGCAGCTACTGTACTCACTTCCCAGAAGCAGTTACCGCACTCACTCCTCAGAAGCAGCTACTGCACTCTCCAGAAGCAGCTACTGCACTCACTTCCCAGAAGCAGCTACTGTACTCACACACTCGTAATGTACAATAAAGATAAACCTTTCAGTAAGAATTGGAGTTTTCGAACTTTTAATAGGCTTTCCACTTGCTGCTATTACATGCTTTGGAAAATACATAAATGACAATTTTAACTTCATTAAATTTTTACAATTGTATATTAGTGTATGTAGACTCAATGACTAATATAATAAAATGACAGAAAATATTCCATGTTTTAATTAGTAACTGGCTGCATCAAGGGCTTCACATTTTCTTATAAATATATATATATTATATATATATATAAATATATATATATAATATATATATATATATATATATATATATATATATATATATATATATATATAATATATATATATATATTATATTTATTTATTTATTTATTTTAACACGTCAAAGCCATTTCCCACTGAGGCACAATACAGCTAATTACCTAAACCTATGCTTAACCCTTTGACTGTTTTGGTCATATATATACATCTTACAAGCCGCGTTTGATGTATATATACTCAAAAATTCTAGTGGCTTCAAATCAAGCAGGAGAAAGCTGGTAGGCCCACATGTGAGAGAATGGGTCTTCGTGGCCAGTGTGCACCATATGAAAAAAATCGTGCAGTACACAGTGCATGAGAAAAAAAACTCTGACCATGTTTTAAGATTAAAACGTCAAATTTGTGGTGTATATTCGTATAGTATTTATGGTTGTATTCTCGTTTTCTTGGTCTCATTTGATAGAATGGAAACATATTTTAGAAATAGAGATGATTTTGATTGGTTTTACTATGAAAAGGTCCTTGAAATGGAGCTCAAAGTAGGGGTAATGTTTGATTTTTGCCGATGTTCAAAAGTAAACAAATGATGTCATTGTCCAATAAATGTCCAACTAGCTATTCTAATATGCAGTCATGAATGGGTTGACATTATTTATACAATTATTACAATATTGCAGTCATCTGTATAACAGTAAATCTTCTATTTTTTGTTTGAATAAAAATTCAAAATAGAAAGCAAGAATAATATCAGAGGGGCCTGGAGACATGACTGATGAACAAAGAAAATGTTATTTTAGAGCCAGGAATGTCTGCATTGTTCATTCTGGACCTTATTTTGAAATTGGCATATTTTTTAATTTGCGTGAAATTGGCCAAATTGCAAATTTCTGACCATGTTATTGGGTAGCTGAAATCAGTAAATGGGCAGTTTCTTGCACTCAATCGATAGAACAAATGGAGTTCTAAAGAAATAGCTATGAGTTTGGTTGACTGAAACAATGAAATTAGCCAAAAATAGGGCTCATAGTGGGTGAAATTGCCGATTCGCAAATATCGCCGAGGTCACTGACTTCGCGAGTGTGTAATTCCCTAAGTTTTCCATCAAATTTCGTTATTTTGGTGTCATTACCATCAGGAAAAGATTCTCTGTCATTTCATAAGGAATTTTTTTTTTTTTTCAAAAATTTTTTGACACCAGGAGACACCTCAGGATTTGGGGTTGCGACAGTCAAAGGGTTAAGACAAATATTTGCTATGTCAGCCTCCTGTGACAGCTGACCCATCTTGTCTGTCTTCTCTTGTCATTATCTCCACACAGGTCTAGTATAATGTACATGTGACAATAAACTATGTTCCCACTGCTGTAAAAGTATAAATGTACTGTACATTGTAAACCTAACTGATTCCACCACAGTTATGCTATTATCACTGTATAACTACAAAATGCACTCATTTTGCAAGTCATGAAGCACCATACTGCTGTTATAAATTAATGGAGAGACAAGTATAAGTATATACTAAATGTTTTCTTCTTACTATCCTACTCTTCCATAACAATAATATACTTTATGCAAAAATATTTCTATTAATTTAATTTATTCAGTAATTTACCATATTACTGACTTTAAAATTTAAACTGCATACTGTTCCTTCTTTCAAAATACACACCACTTCTGGTAATCCCAAGCACACATGGACGGTTCTTAGTATGTCAATACAAAAGCTTAAATTCTTCACAAATTTTCTGAATATTAATTTCCTTAGCCACCCCCACGTGTGAGTTAACTGATCACTTCATAACTGATCTTACTTCATGTCTTGTTCACTTAGATTATATATTATTAAATGAACAGAGAAGAGCCTCTGTTTTCGTATTCCCCAGTTTGAATGTGAAACTGTAGTTATTCTCTACAAAATGTATTTTTTGTTAATATTTTTGGGTATCTGGAATGGATTAATTGGATTTACATTATTTCTTATGGGAAATATTAGCAAAAAATTATTTTTTTAGAGAATAACTATTTTTTTTTTTTTTTTATTCGCCGGTATTCTCCCGGCCCGGGTATTTTCCAAGTAGTGGTGACCCGGCCTTGGCTCCCTATCTGGGGAGTGTCTCGAGACTTAAGTCTCCCATGGGAGGAGGTACAGTACCTCCTCATCTTTGGGACCAAGTGTCCCCAGGCCTAGCCACATTCCCCGCCCTCACGGGGCTCGTAGAGAGAAGCTAGGCCTCTGGTCTGCCATCTACCCCGCCTCAAAGGGGCTCGTGGGGATGGCAGTCTTATGAGCTGCAGATGGTAGCAAGCTCAGGCCTCTAATAACTATAGTTTTACATACAAACTAGGGCACATGAAAACCGAGGTTCCACTGTATTTCATCTTAATTTAGTAATTATCCATGCGTGTCTGGATATTCAGCATACATATCAATTACCTGCAGAAGTATTATCAATTAGCAATTTTTTTTAAGCATTACTAACCCCTTGACTGTCAACCCCCAATCCTGAGGTGTCTCCTGGTGTCGCAAAATTTCAAAAAAGACAAAATTTATTTTTTCTTATGAAATGATAGAGAATCTTTTCCCGATTGTAATGACACCAAAAAACGAAATTTGATGGAAAACTGACGGAATTACGGTCTCGCGAAGTTAGCGACCTCGGCGATATTTACAAACGGCGATTTCGCCCACTTTGAGCCCTATTTTCGGTTAATTTCATTGTTCCAGTCAACCAAACTCATAGCTATTTCTTTAGAACTCCATTTTTTTTCTATCGATTGAGTACAAGAAACTGCCCATTTACCAATTTCAACTACCCAATAACGTGGTCAGAAATTTGCAATTTGGCCAATTTCACGAAAATTAAAAAATATGACAATTTCAAAATAAGGTCCAGAATGAACAATGCAGACATTCCTGGCTCTAAAATAACATTTTCTTTGTTCATCGGTCATGTCTCCAGGCCCCTCTGATATTACTCTTGCTTTCTATTTTGAATTTTTATTCAAACAAAAAATAGAAGATTTACTATTATGCAGACTACTGCAATACTGTAATAATTGTATAAATAACATCAACCCATTCATGACTGCATATTAGAATGGCTAGTTGGACATTTGTTGGACAATGACATCATTTGTTTACTTTTGAACATGGGCAAAAATCAAACATTTCCCCTACTTTGAGCTCCATTTCCAGGTTCTTTTTATAGTAAAATCAATCAAAATCTATAATATGTTTTCCATTCTATCAAATGAGACCAAGAAAACGAGAATACAACCATAAATACTATACGAAAATAGACCACAAAGTCGGCATTTTAATTAAAAAAAACGGTCGGAGTTTTTTTTTTCTAATTATGCACTGCGTGCTCCAGGATTTTTTTTATATGGTGCACACTGACCACACAGACCCATTCTCTCACATGTGGGCCTACCAGCTTTCTCCTTCTTGATTTGAAGCCGCTAGAATTTATGAGTATATATACGTCAAACACGGTACCTCATAAGACGTATATGTACGGCCGCGACAGTCAAAGGGTTAAAGACTCCTCTGTTCTTGCTTCAAGTATATCATCCATACCTGTCAGTTAACCAAAGTGACTACAATAATATGCATATGAGCATTCACAGTCTAAGATTTGATAACTAACCTTTTGGTTTGGTCACAGCCATCTCCGCATGTCCCTTTCCCTGAGGTCCCTTCATACGCACAAACTCTATTCTTTGATTACTGTTTCCAGCAAATAATCCCATCATCATTCTCTGCGCCACCTTGCTGCTTAAGCTTGCCTGATTATTAAAAATTATCAATAAATTATTTATTTAGTCTTAATGAAATGTTTTACACCTTAAGTCACAAATTTAAAGAAAAGCTGCATGATACAATGGTTTATCCTGTATTATTATTAAGACATGACCCAGTTATTGTCAAAGATGGATAAAAAAGTCGACTATTATTATTTCCAGTTTGTGACTGTACTGCAAGTTGTGGCTGTACTGCCACATTTATTCTCTACAAAATATTTGTACACACAGTGCAGTAATGCACAATGGAACCTCACCTATCTGCAAATGTCTAGTCCTGACTATAGTGTAAAGGGGAGTTCCAGAAAAATATAACATGTCCAACACTCTACAATCTCTAAATCTCTTTGAATTTAGAATTCATTGTAATCCTATGTACAGTAGGGCCCCGCTTTATGGCATTTTGCTTTGCGGTGTTCCACTAACACGGTCATTTCAAATTATGACCAAAACTCTCTATATGGCTCCCCACCTGACTTTCTAATATGGTCACTGCGCCCCACCCGGTTTGTTTACATTCTATGTGAGATCCGTAAGCACTACGTCTCTCCATTGTGTCTGGAAACTCCAAATTTCAAGTGTTTTCAAAAGTTATTTCATATTTTATGTATACGCTGATAATTATACTTTTGTATACCTGTACCTAAATAAACTTACACACTGTACTGACATGCAGGTACACATTAACCCCTAAACTGTCCAAACGTAGATCTACGTTTTTTCAACATTTGAAAGTATGTAAAAAATGTAGATTTTTTTTTATTTGAAAACGTGTAAAAAAACTTAATCTACTTTTTTTTTGTTATATGTATTTGAAAATATGTAAAAATCCGTAGATCTACTTTTGGAGCACTATGCATGTGAACGTAAATCTGTTTGGACAGTTTAAGGGTTAAAATCAGTGTCTTATGTCTCGAGATGCCATTTAGACCTTAAATTCCATATTAACCTTGACCTAAAATGCTTTCTTGATAGTTGTGACAGGACCCACAGGCATAACACCAGACACAAACATCTCTATGACATTCCCCGTGTCCGACTAAACCTTTACAAAAATTCAATGTGTGTCAAAGGGCCTAAAATCTGGAACACTCTCCCTGAAAACCCTAAAAACTGCGAACATTCATCATTTCAAAACTCATTTTAGAAAACCCTTATCTCCCTGAAAACCCCCCCGTCAACTAACTACAGTAAACCACCGGGGGGTTTCACACTTACACTTACTCCCCCACTGACTTAAACACAAAAATAAAAATCTTAATCTTAAAATAATGAATCCAAAACTAGTCATAAGTTTGCCTATTATACCCCCAATATAGCACTTGTATTTGCCAAAAAAAAAGCATTACATTGCTAAACCACAACAAAATGTAGTCATTTATTTTAATCCCATAATCAGTAAAATTTAAAAAGTTTAGAATTAATCTAATCCCCCAAAAATGCCTCCATGTAGGTGCCCTAGGGGCCCCCCTTGAAATTAGTATTTTAAAACAGTAAACCACACGATATTAAAAATCTTTTAACCCTAATTTAACCCTTTACAAAAAATAAATTGATTGATTGATAATAATAATCAAGTCCCTTGTTGTACATTACTTTAAAATTATATTTTTTCATTATCCATCTATGATTTTTTTTTCAAAATTATATAAAAAACACGATCATAACATATAAAGATGTAAATACCCCCTACAGTAAAAAATAAACTAAATATGAGTGTGTTAGCTAGCAATTTGTCGAGTGACGCCATTTAGAAATGATAATAAAAATAAAAATCACGAATCTCTTTTAAAAGTCATATATTACATTAATATACACATTTTTTTATCCATCTATGATTTTTTTTAAAAATTATATAATAAACATGATAATAACATATAAAGATGATAAATACACCCCAAGTGAATAAATAAACTAAATATGAATGCCTGGGGAAAAGAGGATTTGTCAGTTAAAAACAGGGGGGGGAGTTAGTAGATGGGGAGGGGGAGGTTTTTAGGTAGATGGCAGAATTTTTTGGGGGAACTTTTAAATGTTGAGGAAGAAAGGGGGCGTAATTTCATGCACTGGCCAGGAGGTATACACTTTTAGGAGTAAAGAAAGCAGAATGAAAGTGGGTGGGGTCGTGAGGCAATGTAGAAAAAAGGGGGGTAAAGCAGCGGAACTAGGGGATCTGACAGAAATGTTAAAAGCAGGGGAGATATGTGTTGGAGTGGTTGGTATTTTTGTTTAAAAAATGTATGAAAGAGGGGAAGGTACCTAGGGATTGGCGGAGGGGGTGTTTATAGTCCCTTTTTTAAAAGGGGGAAAGGGGACAAAAGAGATGTAAAATTATAGGGAAAAAGGGTTAATTAAAGAATTGGGGTTTAAGACAGAAAGTAGGAAGCAGAGAGCAGGGGGGTTTCAGAGTGGGGGGGGGTGGTAGATAAAGTGTTTACTTGAAGCATATATGTAAACAGTTTTTATTTTTTCTTTTGTCCTGTGGAAGGGGAAAAAAGAATCTTTCCTCCGTAAGCCATGCGTGTCGTAGGGCGACAAAAAATGCCGGGAGCAATGGGCTAGTAACCCTTTTCCTGTAGAATTTTCTAAAAAAAAAAAGAAGAAAAAAATTTATAAAATGGGGTGCTTTTAAAAGTGCGTGGAGTAGTGCAGATGACAAGAAAAGTGTTTCTGAGGGTTTTGAATGAAAAAAAGTTGGATGTCCTGGCCCAAGCGAAACAAAGCTGAAGGGGGGGGAGAGTTTCAGTATCGAGAGAGTTGAGCAAAGGAAGGGGTACAGTAATGTTAAAAGATCAGTTAGGAAGGGGAAAAAAAAATATGAATGTGTAAATTTTAAAAAATTATGTGGTTAAAGTAAAGGTTGGATGGAAAGGGGTCATAATAAGGGATGCACCTGGAGAAGGAGGGAAAGCAGAGGGGAGAGAGGGTTTTGGGAGATGTTAGTGAATGTATAGGAGCCTTTGAACCAAGTGAGAGAGTAATTGTGGTAGGGGCCTGAAAGCTAAAGTAGAGAAACTTTTAGAGGGGTGTGGTAGGGAAGTTTGGGGGGGCCCCCGTGTAAATGTAATGGGAGCCCCTTTGATTGAACTTTGTATAAAAGGGGTTTAGTTATAGGTAAAACATATTTTAAAAAAAGAGGGTAAATAAGTATAAAGAATTTTATGTAGGGCAAAAAAGACAATAGTTGTTGGATTATGTTTGGGAAAAAAAGACTGTTGGAAAACTTCAGGGTGTCATGTTTATAGAGGGGGCCCCAGATTAAAAAGATCACTTTCTAGTTGTAGTACATGAGAGTAAAAGGTGATGGGATACAGGAGAAAAGAAGCATCAGGGAAAAGAGAGGGGGAAGGTTTATAAAATAAAAAGAGGGGCGTTGGGGAAGATATAAAAAAAAGCTGTTGGAGGGTAGATGGGTAATGAGAGCATAGGCAATGGGGCGAAGAGGTTGGGGTAGGTTTAAAAATATGTTAGGTGTTCAAAAGAATTTGTGGTTTTCAGGAAAGTGGGTGCAGGAGGGAAAGGACGATTGGTGGGGAAAATGATTAAAGAGAGTATAAAGGGAAAAAGTTAGCATATGAGAAGTTTTTTTCAAAGAGAAGTGATGCAAGGGGGGAAGAGTATATGGGGAAAAAAAGAGAGGTTTAAAAGGGGTGGTTTAAGCAATGTAAAAAAAAAGGGAAAAAGAGAGAGTGGGGGGAATGTTATAACAATTTTGTTGAAAATAAGAAAAAAATTTTGGAGGGATTAAAAAAGTTAAGAAAGCTAGAGAAAAAATGGGTTTTTCAGTTAAAAAAAGGGAAGGAGAGTTATTAAATGGGAGTTAGGGTATTGGGAAAATGGAGGGAATATTTTGGGGAATTGTTTAAATGTTAATGAAATAGGGAAGCTTGATTTGTGTATAGGGCAAGGGGGGAATAACATCTTGTGGGAGTGGGGAAAGGCAGTTGTGATGGGGGGGGAAGTTCGGGGCAGTGGAAAATAAAAGGGGGGAAAGGGCACCCGGGGATTGATGGGATAAAGAAGAAATTTTAAAGCAGGGGGGGATATAGTTTTGGAGTGGTTGGGAAATTATTAATAAATGTAGGAAGGGGGAAAGGTACCTGGGGTTTGGGCAAGACAAAGGGGCTGTTTCCTTTGTTTTTAAGGCAAAGGGGATAAAAGAGAGTAAAAAATTTAAGGGGGGTAAGTCTGTTGAGCGGGAGAAAGGGCTAAAAAACCCTTCCCCTGTATATATTACTAAATTTGAAAAGGAGAAATTTTGGTTTTTTTTTTTTGGGCCACCCTCCCCTCGGGGGGATACGGCCGGGGTGTTGAAAGAAAAAAAGAAAGAATTCGTTGAGTATCCCTTGGAAAAGTGTATGGTAGAGTTTAATTGAAAGAATAAGAGAAAGACGGGAATGGGGTGCAGATGAACAAGGGGCTTTAGGAAAAGGTGGGGGGTGGTGGGCCCGGGGTTTTTAACAGTGAAACATATATGAACAAAAATTTAAAAAGGGCAAAAGGGGTTTTGTGCATTTAGGGTTTTGGGAAAAAGGATATGACAGGGTGGAGGGGGGGGCAATGGGGGCAGATTTGCAAGTGTATGGTGTGGAGGTAGGTTACTGAAAGCATGAAATTTTTTTTTCGAGGTAGGAGGCCAAATTAGAGTATGTAGGGAAAAAGGGAAATTTTTTTCCCCTAAAATGGCCTTTAAAAGGATGTGGTGTCACCCCTGGGTTTTTTTAATAATTTTATAGATGGGGTTGTAAGAGAAGAAATGCGAGGGTCTTTGGGAAGAGGCTGGAGTTAAAAAATAAAGAATCACACACAAAGTGGGACTTGCAAGTCCTTTGCTGATGACACTTGCTCTTGGGAAAAATTTTGAAGAGAAGTTGCAGGATTGGTGGGGAATTTGGGAGGGGGTGCAAAAGAAAAAAAATTAAAGGGGAATATAGGAAAGAGTAAGGTTATGAGGATAACAAAAAGATTAGGTATGAAAGATTGGA